CTGTTTCACACTGGCTTAAATTTCACAGTGTACAGTGGTACACCTTAACTGATCGTTTGAGAGACAAACTAGGCAGACATCATTATTTTGCAGTTGTGCCATAGTTTTCTGAGTCGTCTTCATTAAAATTATTTTCTTTTGTCTTGGTATGGTAAATGATAATAAGACTGTAACAAAGGAAATGGAATTCACACTCAGAATAATATAGAACCACAACATAATTATACATTCAAGGTGCAACAAAAGTACTGTCCATTAGCCTGGGACTACTAGAGCAAACCTCTGGGTTGCCATTTTTTAATTGTGAGTTGTCCTACGGGCAAGCAGCATTTGCCAAGGTAAAGTACATAAAAATATGTACATAAAAATATGTACTAGATAAATGTTAAAAACAAATGGGGTTAGTAGGCCTGCACCGCTGCTCTGGGCTAGTACTGACTTCAAGACTTCAAGACTTTATTATAAATTTTCTAAAGAATATTTTTACAAGTGTCCTGGCTCCACAAATAGCTGTACTGTACTTTAAGCAAATAGTACAATAGTACTGTACTTTAAGCAACAGCCTGCCCTAGGTGCAAGTGATTTTTTTTTCATCATACCCTAACATTGTACAACTTTGTAAACAACATGCCTACCGTATTATCCTTTTTTCATGTGATTTTTAGTTTACTACTCTGGAGCAGTTACTTGTTGATGAAAAACACCCATCTATTGGTACACTGACTGGTTGTATATCCCCTGATGAGCTCCTCAATATCTGTGATGTCAAGGGAGATGATGATCTCCAAGTTTACAGGCTCAATAATGACAAGACAATTGCATGGTTAAAGACAAAGGTATACTAAGATGTTGAATTACTAATAGATCACCTGGCAGATCAGTTAAATGTTTACTGAGACTGTGTATTAACAATGTCACGCAAGGGAACCCAGCACATGGAAAGTGGCTTTGTTCTTGTCTGATTGTCACTAAATTTTGAAATAGGATGGGAAATGGGATTAGAAGAGATACGGATTTGACATATCATGTTTTTCTCCTTAATAGCCAGTGCTCAAAATCCCTGCTTGCTGTCCCTTAATTTGTTAAGAGCCCTCAAAGGAATTCAGAAGCTAGAATTATAGCAACCAGACACCGTAAACTCTGATGAAGGGTCTATACCCAGATCTGGATAGTGCTTATTAGTTGAAAATTTGCTTCATCCAATCAGAAGCACTGCCCAGATCTGGGAAGTGTAGCATCTCTGGCATGGAATTTCTGCACTGTCTCCTCCGACATCATTTCATGGAGGAAACCAGTGATGGCATCGCAAAATGGCTGCTATTTTCTCAAGCTATTAGTAAATGTAATTATGTGAGCCAATCTATGGAGAACAACTTTTCTTGTTAATTTCCACGTCAGGTTGAACAGACTGCTGATAGTGTGTCATCAAGTGGTGTTCATGTATCTAAGGGTTCACAAAGTGCAACGTTTGTACGAAGCAAAAGACATTGTGATGCGTCAAGAGGTACTGTTCATTAATGATGATGGCTGAATATTAAGCTCTTTTGGTTGGGTTTGATTTGCTGGTGCAGGTAATGGTGCAATTGAAGCCGCCAGGATTAGGGTTAAGGTTCCAGTGACGGGACCTTTATTAGGTAGCTACATAACTTAACATTACCTTATTATTTAAATAGCGCAAAATACATGGGTATATGATCTAATGTGCTTATTATAGCAGAGAGATTTTTAAACACTGCATGTGAACTAACTGGAAGTGGACTTTTGTATTCTTAGCTGGTGGTTTTGCCCAAATTTTCAGGCAAGTTGTCTCTATAACAGTAATGATACTTAGCAATACAAATTTGGTAGCATTGGGGTATATTAAAAGGAATAAGGCCTCATCTCTGGCTGACATGCCCAGCTCTAAAACACCCTAATGCTTTAGCTTCCTATTCACACCTACATGTACACATCCTCAAATTAAACCCTCCCAGCTATGATGCCTTCCTCAAAGAACTTACCAACTTGACATGTACTTACTGACCTTGGTTTTGTAAACATGGTAAACTTAAGTGACTATGGTGTTAAGTGTGCAGAAGCTACCTCTCCTACTCTGCATAAGTGTTAATCCCTGATCCTGGTACCAAGCTCAGTGTGATATTAGGTTAATTAAAATGAAAATTGCAAAGTACAATAAATAGACAAAAATAATAAAACTAACCTTAGAACTAACCTCAGAACTAACCTTATTCGTCTTGAGATTTTACAGAAACGAGTGATCAGAACTATAGCTAAAACAACTTTCGATGCACATACTGATCCAATCTTTCAAAATCTTGGTATCTTAAAATTTCATGATATATACTTAATACAACTAGGCTTATTCATGTACTCCTATCAAAACCATACTCTACCTTTAAAATTTCATTGTAAATTTACCTTACAAAGTCAAATTCATTCGTATAATACAAGAAACTCGTGTAAATTTCGTCTGCCTTTCTGTCGTACTCGAACCAAACAATTTTCCGTTTTTTATCAAGGACCTAAATTTTACAACACCTTAAACACCAACATCATCAACGCTTCCTCACCTTTCTCCTTTAAAAGAGCACTTAAGGCATTTATTTGTAATAATTATTAGTATACTCCAACAAAAATTTTGGGAAAAAGCCTTTTAATATTCAACATTTGTAAACTTCCGTAATATTGATTAGTTTAATTTTTCACCTCATATTATGTTGTATCCGTCGCCGTAATTTTTATACTATCTTCGAAAAATTGTAATTGAGGAGGCCTAATTAACATAAGCTCTATAGTTTCTTTTAGGCCTCCTCGCCATCTCTTCCTACATTTTTTTCTTTTGGCATCTTTTTGTAATTATCGTAATCGTGTGGCAAATAAATAAAATACCTAAAAATACCTAAATAAAGTTTGAAGTACATAATTAAGTATTTGTTATTAAAACAAAATTATTAAATTTTAATAATTTTGTTTTCAGGCGACTATGTTAGATATGCCTTTGGTCTAGTGTCTGACTATCTGTCTTTGCAATGGAGTGAAAGTCTTAAAGAGTCTTTAAGGTAAGGAAATGTTTACAGACACTGTAAAAGAAGCCGCTGGTTACTTCTAGGTTTTACCAGTATTTGTCTTAGTAATGTGATTGATTGATCAACCAGTCAAGTGACATTCTGCAGATTAAAGTGATAGCTATAGGTTTCAATTTCAGTCGGCCCATCAAAAATGAACCTTTCCTGTGACCATCTTCATTTCTTAACAACTGGCCTGCATAACAGGCTTTTTTTTTGTTTTTCAGGTGAACAAAGGCAACTCGAATTAAGCTAGGAGTGCCAGACACGACACATTTTTCCTGCACCCTTTCTTGTTGTGTGTCTGGTACTCCTCCCTCGCTTCATGCATGCCTTGCTCACCTGAAAAGCACTGAAAATAATGCGTGTTAAGCAGGCTATTTAGCAGCAGACAGATGGCAACTGCTTCAGGGACGTTCATATTCTGGCATCTGATCTTTTTCTCATGACAGGACTTCTTGAAAAAAGTCCCATCCATTCCAGTGGTCGGGGACGAGTAGACTTTCTTGCTGAGCGAGCAACTTTAAAAGCTTACTTGCCCAATGGGCAAGCTTAGGGTTCAGGCCAAACATCCTGACTCTTAAAAAATCATTAACTGAGATGTATAAAAAGTTGCCCAGGTTAAGCAAAATGTGGAGCTGTTTGCCCAAAAGACCAGCTTGAATCTAAGTGTTTTTCAAGCTCTGCTTTAGTGCATGAATTATATTTAGCACAAAACCTCTTCTGTGATAATAATATTTTGCACTATGTGTTCTGTACATACAAAAGCATTAAGTATCAGTCCTTAAGCTTAGTTAATTCCTGATTGTGTTGTTTAGTATCACAGATGATGCTCAACTCTCCTCCCCTGAGGCACCTCCTACAAAGGTGAGAGTTCAGTGTTTAGTGCTTGGTTCAGAATGTAACTGCAATAGGGACAACTACAGTATCCCCACATCCTAGTTGCTATTCTGACGGCCACTGACTAAACCTTGATTGGATCGGATCACTCCAGCCCTTGTAACCCTGCATGTACCGTTAACCTCTTGCTGGATTGATCTGGTCCAATCCAGGCTTTGTTTGCACCATATTTTGGCAGATTGACATGCTAAAATAACGCCAAGCCCCAGTTGTTCCTCATTAGGATGGATAGTGTAACTTGTTGTATACTTGTAATATAATTATCTGGCGTGTTCCAGGTCTTTTGGCAAAGTGTGTAAAAAAGTAAATGAATAGATAAAATAAATAAATTAATAAATATTTGTTCAATTGCCTTTTTTTCTATTAGAGAGCCAAAGTTACTGATGAGATTCCAGAGGCTATGGAAGATTATTCCAAAGAATTCAGCAAGTTGACTTCTAAGAAAGAAAATAACAAGGTTCTATTTTATTTACTTTTTATGGCATTCTAACTTACTATGCCCGTGTAGCAAGGCGTGTCACACACAAAACTGACATTCAAAGTAGGATGCCCAACGTTAGCTTGTCCATAATAATACTTTGAAGCTGTTGCCCTACAAGGCTATTCAGCCATCAGCTTTCCGTGCTGGTTCCTTTCCAAAGTTTAAGAGTCTTAGCAAGGTTACATTTTGGGAAACACAACTCTGGGCTCGCGCAACATAACTTCGGGCAAGGTAATTTTGGGTTGAGTGGAGTTGTAACCATGGTCATCTCTTTGCAGTCTCAGCCTTAGTGAACGAACCACTGTTATGCCTCAATACCTTTAGTTTTTTCAGAGGCATTGTGAAACCTATCTACCGTGTAGTTAGTTTGGTTTGGCTACGGGCCTGTCCTTGTTTATTGAAAAAACTCATGCATTGACAGAAACGATTATGAAGAAGAACTTGTAAGGCGTAGGTTTGTCTTACTGTTTTAACAATACCTTTAGTTTCTTCAGAGGTATTGGTGCTTCCACCTACCGTGAGTAATTATTTTGCTTTGGCTACGGGGCTGTCCTTGTTCACAAAAAACACGAGTCTTCGCAGAAAAGTTGATAAAAATGTGAGGAGAGGCTTGCAAGGCATAGTTTTGTTTCACGCAAATTTGGCCATCATTTCAAAAAATTAATGAAGTTAATCCCCCCCTCACGTGTTTTATTGCAGACTAGTAAAAAGTTAACAGCTGCACAGAAGTCATTATCAAAGGTGGACAAAAAAGGAATGAAGTCATTATCGAGCTTTTTTGGGGCTGGAACCAAGAAAACAAAGAAAAGCTAGCAAAGAACTAGAACTGTTCGTTTTTTGGGAAAAACGCTACCCTTCCTGTTCCTTTTAGAGGCTGTGGTACTCTTGCTCTGGCATGTGAAGGGAGAAACTCTACAGCAAGGAAAAACTGGACGAGATGATTCCTGTATTTTCTTTATTTTACTACCGTACGATCAAAATTTTTCGTGGTACAAACTACCCGTTTGTTTTTGCAAATGTATAAGTATGTTGTGGTCGTATCCTGCATGTATAAAAATTGTGTAAGATCGCGTCAACATGACCTACTTGGCCAGAGTAGGCAAATGCTAAGTGTTTTTGTTTGTTTGATTGATTGATTGATCTTTATTGCCGGGTTAATGCTCGGTTTCTAAAGGGGAGGCCAATTTTCCTCTACCCTGGGTACTAGAGGTTTTTTCTCGCGTGCGTCGGGTAGCTTCGTTTCGTCGACCGCAGGCCGACACGTGTTCGGCCGAAGGCCGATGACACGAGCGGCGAAGCCGCGAGGAAAAACGCGCGGGTAACTTTTCAATACTTGACCGAAACCGGAAACCGCGCATGAAAAGCCTCTGGCACCCAGGGTAGTTTTCCTCAAAATAACCACACAAGTTTGACTGTTCCGGGGCCAGCTTAGAGGGAAGTGGGTGAAGGGAAAATTAAATCACCCAAAAGGCTCAAAAAAGAGGGTCGTGAAGGCGGATGGGGACAAGAGGCACATCTTTATTCAATTGTCCTATTGGAAAAAAGTGGCAAATGTGTGTGGCCAAATCACAGTTCCAGTGGCTAACATCTCTTTAATTAAACGATCAATCCATTTATTTTAACATCAAGGAGCTAAAAAATTGTTCAAAATACGAACGTGTGCAATCCAAAAAAGGTATATCTGCGCAAAGGATGGCGGAGTTAGCTTCGTTTCTAGTCAATGCCTTGTCTTGCGCGATTTCTAGAAACGCGTCGATCTAGAGGAGGTTGGATTTCTCATTTTGTATGTAGACAATCATTATCCTTTTTTTTTTACCTTACTCGAGCAATATGTTGTGGGGGGTGGGGGGGAGTGAGCATGTCTTGCCCTCAAAAATTAAACCAAGACAAAAATTAAATCTAGTTCCCGTTTATTTCTTATTTTATGTTGACATCAAATAAGCAAAAATTACTCCACATCTAGCAGTTGGTTCTACCAAATTTCTTGTCTGTTTCCCCTGTCCACACATCCCCAATAAGGAAAAGCTTTGTTGATGGTCTTGCATCATTCTGTCAAAAAAGCAGAGTTGAAGTTATCAAACTTCTAAAAACTTCCTTGTAGAAAAAAAATCTTCCCTAAACGACGCGTAAAAAGGTTTCACGCTCGACTAAGTATTTTAAACACATTCACAACTAACTGCAAAGACCTAACAAGTATAGGAATTACACAAACATAATAGGCCGATTTTCAATCTTTACCAAGCCCGACCACGCCCCAGGGGTGCTTATAATTTTGGTCGGAAGGTTAACGGTTAAGTAATTTTTCGGCGATTCCAAATTGAAAGGGAAAGTCAACCATCTGTCAGTTTCAGTCTCGCGCTATACTATGTTCTCCCAGCCTCGTTCCCAGTCGTCCTCGGAGATTTCGGATGTAACGTCACCTGTCAAGCTTCCCCCTTTTTCCTCTATCCACGGACCCGTTTCTTGAAAGGCCCGGTAACTTTTCAGGCCCGAGTGAAATTTTAAAATCATAACTTGTTGAAAAGTAGCACAAGTCCTGGCTCACAAACCAGTCAATTTAGTTTCGTTAACTGATAGTTTCATTGTATTATTTTCAAACATGGCAAAAATAAATCAGCTTCCCGGGCCCGAAAAGTTAAGGGACTTTTGAGAAACGTTGGATGAATTTAAAAAAGGCATCTTTCAACGCTTGGGTTTTTCAGTGTTAACTTAACCCCCCATAATGTAACTTAATGACACTATGACGTCGGCCTTGTCAACAGATTTCCCTTTCTTCTTTCACTGAGTAGCACGGAATGCCTTTTCAAATTTAGCTGCGTATTTAAGCGAAGAGTGTTTTCAAGTATTTTAGTTATATAACGCTGTGTAAAAGGGGTTATATTAAGCTGGCGATTATTCGAATCCAGAGGGCCCCCTTCAGCGAAATTAAGATTGATTTTGGTTGCCTAAATCAAAAGAAAAAAATCCGCAAGCATTTCGCAGCAGAGATAGAACTGAAACCTACTGATACCGGTGTATTCAAAATGCAGAAAAATATACAGTAAGTGAGAAAACAATTTAATGCTTGTTCCTATAAAGAGAGTGAGGAAGAGAGGGGGGGACTTGTTTCCAAGTTTAATCTAGGGGGTGGAGGTGAGGAAATTCTATGCCATAGCACTTTGAGATGCGCAATAGCACGTTAACCTAGATAATTAAAACGATAACCATGGATTCGAAACAAGTCCCACTTGCTATAAATCTGTTAACAACACACACCTGAGCAAGCGGATGCCTTGATTGTTTCAATCATCTTTTGCAACTGCGAGAAGTCTTTCACCACTGTTTCACACTGGCTTAAATTTCACAGTGTACAGTGGTACACCTTAACTGATCGTTTGAGAGACAAACTAGGCAGACATCATTATTTTGCAGTTGTGCCATAGTTTTCTGAGTCGTCTTCATTAAAATTACTTTCTTTTGTCTTTGGTATGGTAAATGATAATAAGACTGTAACAAAGGAAATGAAATTCACACTCAGAATAATATAGAACCACAACATAATTATACATTCAAGGTGCAACAAAAGTACTGTCCATTAGCCTGGGACTGCTAGAGCAAACCTCTGGGTTGCCTTTTTTTAATTGTGAGTTGTCCTACGGGCAAGCAGCATTTGCCAAGGTAAAGTACATAAAAATGTGTACATAAATGTTAAAAAAATGGGGTTGGTAGGCCTGCACAGCTGCTCGGGGCTAGTACTGACTTCAAGACTTTATCATAAATTTTCTAAAGAATATTTTTACAAGTGTCCTGGCTCCACAAATAGCTGTACTGTACTTTAAGCAAATAGTATAATAGTACTGTACTTTAAGCAACAGCCTGCCCTAAGTGCAAGTGATTTTTTTTTTCATCATACCTTAACATTGTACAACTTTGTAAACAACATGCCTACCGTATTATACTTTTTTCATGTGATTTTTAGTTTACTACTCTGGAGCAGTTACTTGTTGATGAAAAACACCCATCTATTGGTACACTGACTGGCTGTATATCTTCTGATGAGCTCCTCAATATTTGTGATGCCAAGGGAGATGATGATCTCCAAGTTTACAGGCTCAATAATGACAAGGCAATTGCATGGTTAAAGACAAAGGTATACTAAGATGTTGAATTACTAATAGATCACCTGGCGGATCAGTTGACTGTTTACTGAGACTGTGTCTTAACAATGTCACACAAGGGAACCCAGCACATGGAAAGTGGCTTTGTTTAAGTCTGACTGTCACTATATTTTGGAATAGGATGGGAAATGGGATAAAATAGGTAGTGATTTGACATTTTCACGCTTTGACAACATATCATGTTTTCTCCTTGGTAGCCAGTGCTCAAAATCCCTGCTTCCTGTCCCTCAATTTGTTAAGAACCCTGAAAGGAATTCAGAAACTAGAATCATAGCAACCAGACACCAGAAACTCTGATGAAGGGTCTATACCCAGATCTGGATAGTGCTTATTGGTTGAAAATTTGCTTCATCCAATCAGAAGCACTGCCCAGATCTGGGAAGTGTAGCGTCACTTGCATGGAATTTCTGCACTGTTTCCTCAGACATCATTTCATGGAGGAAACCAGTGATGGCATCGCAAATTGGCTGCTGTTTTCTTAGGCTATTAGTACATGTAATTACGTGAGCCAATCTGTGGAGAACAAGTTACTTTTCTTGTTATGTTTCCATGTCAGGTTGAACAGACTGCTGATTGTGTGTCATCAAGTGGTGTTCATGTATCTAAGGGTTCACAAAGTGCTACATTTGTACGCAGCAAAAGACATTCCGTTGCATCAAGAGGTACTGTTCATTAATGATGATGGCTGAATATTAAGCTCTTTTCGTTGGGTTTGATTTGCTGGTGCAGGTAATGGTGCAATTGAAGCCGCCAGGATTAGGGTTAGGTTTCCAGTGACAGGACCTTTATTAGGTAGCTACATAACTTAACATAACTTTATTATTTAAATAGTGCAAAATACATGGGTATATGATCTAATGTGCTTATTATAGCAGAGAGATTTTTAAACAATGGATGCGAACTAACTGGAAGTGGACTTTTGTATTCTTAGCCAGTGGTTTTGCCCAAATTTTCAGTCAAATTGAGTCTATAACAGTAATGATATAAAGCAATACAAATTTGGTAGCACTGGGGTATATTAAAAGAAAAAAGGCCTCATCTCTGGTTGACATGCCCAGCTCTAACCCACCCTAATGCTTTAGCTTCCTATTCACACCTACATGTACACATCCTCAAATTAAACCCTCCCAGCAATGATGCCTTCCTCAAAGAACTTACCAACTGGACATGTACTTACTGACCTTGGTTTTGTAAACATGGTAAACTTAAGTGACTATGGTGTTAAGTGTGCAGAAGCTACCTCTCCTACTCTGCATAAGTGTTAATCCCTGATCATGGTACTAAGCTAAGTGTGATATTAGGTTAATTAAAATGAAAATTACAAAGTACAATAAATAGACAAAAATAATAAAGTTTGAAGTACATAATCAAGTATTTGTTATTTAACCCTTTAAGTCCCAATAGTGATCAACATTAATTTTCTCCTAACGATATCCATACATTGGCAAGAGAAAAGTTTATGAGAATTAATAAAATGCTCACCAAAGAGAAAATGCTTTGATCTTTTATCAAATTCTCTCAACTAATTCTTAAAGGAAATGTATAGAGACCAGTTTGGAGAATTTGTATGTGGATATTGGGGCTTAAAGGGTTAATAATTTTGTTTTCAGGCGACTATGTTAGATATGCCTTTGGTCTAGTGTGTGACTATCTATCTTTGCAATGGAGTGAAAGTCTTAAAGAGTCTTTAAGGTAAGGAAATGTTTACAGACACTGTAAAAGAAGCCACTGGTTACTTCTAGCTTTTACCAGTATTTGTCTTAGTAATGTGATTGATTGATCGACCAGTCAAGTGATATTCTGCAGATAAAAGTGACAGGTTTGAATTTCGGTTGGACCATCAAAAATGAACCATTCCTGTGACCATCTTTCATTTCTTAACAACTGGCCTGCATAACAGGCGTTTTTTGTGTGTGTTTTTTAGGCGAACGAAGGCAACTCGAATCAAGCGAGGAGCGCCAGACATGACACCTTTTTGCTGCACCTTTTCCTGTTGCATGTCTGGCACTCCTTCCTCGCTTCATGCACGCCCTTGCTCACCTGAAAAGCATTAAAAAATAATGCGTGTTAAGCAGGGTATTGAACAGCAGACAGATGGCAACTGCTTCAGGGCGTTCATATGCTGGCATCTAATCTTTTTCTCATGACAGGGCTTGAAAAAAGTCCCATCCATTCCAGTGGTCGCGGACAAGTAGATTTTCTTGCTGAGCGAGCAACTTTAAAAGCTTACTTGCCCAATGGGCAAGCTTAGGGCTCAGGCCAAACATCCTGACCCTTACAAAATCATTAACTGAGACGTATAAAAAGTTGCCCAGGTGAACCAAAATGTGGAGCTGTTTGCCCAAAAGACCAGCTTGAATTTAAGTGTTTTTCGAACTCTGCTTTAGTGCATAAATTATATTTAGCACAAAGCCTCTTCTGTGGTAATAATTTTTTGTACTATGTGATTTGTACATACAAAAGCATCAAGTATCAGCCCTTAAGCTTAGTTAATTCCTGATTGTGTTATTTTAGTATCACAGATGATGTTCAACTCTCCTCCCCTGAGGCACCTCCTACAAAGGTGAGAGTTCAGCGTTTAATGCTTGTTCCAGAATGTAACTGCAATAGGGACAACTACAGTATCCCCACATCTTAGTTGATATTTTGACGGCCGCCGACAAAACCTTGGTTGGATCAGATCGCACCAGCCCTTGTGACCCTACCCTTAACCTCTTGTTAGATCCGGTCCAACCAGGCTGTGTTTGCACCATATTTTGGAAGATTGACATGGTAAAATAACGCTAAGCCCCAGTTGTTCCTCATCAGCATGAATACTGTAACTTGTTGTATACTTGTAATATATCTGGGGTGTTCCAGGTCTTTTGGCAAAGTTTGTAAATATTAAGTAAATGAACAGGTAAATAAAATCAATCAATCAATCAATGTATGTTCCATTGCCTTTTCTTTCTATTAGAGAGCCAAAGTTACTGATGAGATTCCAGAGGCTACGGAAGATTATTCCAAAGAATTCAGCAAGTTGACTTCTAAGAAAGAAAATAACAAGGTTCTATTTTTTTTTACTTTTTATGGCATTCTAACTTATTATGCCCATGTAGCAAGGCGTGTCACACACAAAACTGACTAAGTTTCATCCTACGGGTTGCAATCGAACAGGTATTATTATGAAACTTCGACAACGGGATGTTCCGATAAGTCGGTAGTCGAAAGGCACGACCAAGGAATCCAAAGTTTAAGAGTCTTAGCAAGGTTACACTTTGGGAAACACAACTCTGGGCTCGTGCAACATAACTTCGGGCAAGGTAATTTTGGGTTGAGTGGAGTTGTAACTCAGTGAACGAACCACTGTTATGCCTCAATACCTTTAGTTTTTTCAGAGGCATTCTTAAACCTATCTACCGTGTAGTTAGTTTGGTTTGGCTACGGGCCTGTCCTTGTTTATAGAAAACTCATGCATTGACAGAAACGATTATTACCTACCGTGAGTAATTATTTTGCTTTGGCTACGGGGCTGTCCTTGTTCACAAAAAACACGAGTCTTCGCAGATAAGTTGATAAAAATGTGAGGGGAGTCTTATAAGGCATAGTTTTGTTTCACGCAAATTTGGCCATCATTTCAAAAAATTAATGATGTTAATCCCCCCTTCACGTGTTTTATTGCAGACTGGTAAAAAGTTAACAGCTGCACAGAAGTCATTATCAAAGGTGGACAAAAAAGGAATGAAGTCATTATCGAGCTTTTTTGGAGCTGGAACCAAGAAAGCAAAGAAAAGCTAGCAAAGAACTAGAGCTGTTCGTTTTTTGGGAAAAACGATACCCCTCCTGTTACTTTGCATGAGGCCATGGTACTCTTGCTCTGTCATTTGCCTCCACTTTAAGCAATATATGACGGTAGAAACTCTACAGCAAGCAAAAACTGGACGAGATAGTTCCTGTATTTTTCGTGGTACAAACTACAAATGTATATATTGCAAATGTATAAATATGTTGTGGTCGTATCCTGCATGTATAAAAATTGTGTAAGATCACGTCATTTTGATTGGTTGGCTATTTTTGTTATCTTTTATTCCCTGACATCTTTATTGTCGGGTTAATTCTCGGTTTCTTAAAGGGAGGCCAATTTTCCTCTACCCTGGGTACCAGAGGTTTTTTCTCGCGTGCGTCGGGGAGCTTCGTTTCGTCGGCCGCAGGCCGAAGACACGAGCGGTGAAGCCGCGAGAAAAAACGCGCGGGTCACTTTTTAATACTTGACCGAAACCGGAAACCGCGCATGAAAAGCTTCTGGCACCCAGGGTAATTTTCCTCGAAATAGCTACACAAGTTTGACAGTTCCGGGGCCAGCTACATAAAGGTGACGTTAGAGGGAAGTGGGTTGAAGGGAAAATTGAATCACCCAAAAGGCTCAAAAAAGAGGTTCGTGAAGGCGGATGGGGACAAGAGGCATATCTTTATTCAATTGTCCTATTAAAAAAAAGTGGTAAATGTGTGTGGCAAAATCACATTTCCAGTGACTAACATCTCTTCAATTAAACAATCAATCCATTTATTTTAACATCAAGGAGCTAAAAAATTGTGTAAAATACGAACGTGTGCAATCCAAAAAAGGCATATCTGCGCAAAGGATGGCGGAGTTACCTTCGTTTCTATTCAATGCCTTGTCTTGCGCGATCTCTCGAAACGCGTCGATCTAGAGGAGGCTGGATTTGTTATTTTGTATGTAGACAATCATTATCCTTTTTCCTTTACCTTACTCGAGCAATTTATTGTTGGGGGAGTGAGCATGCCTTGACCTTAAGAATTAAACTAACACAAAAATTAAATCTATTTCCCATTTATTTCTTATTTTATGTGACATCAAATAACCAAAAATTACTCCACATCTAGCAGTTGGTTCTACCAAATTTCTTGTCTGTTTCCCCTGTCCACACATCCCCAATAAGAAAAAGCTTTGTTGATGGTCTTGCATCATTCTGTCAAAAAAGTAGAGTTGAAGTTATCAAACTTCTAAAAACTTCCTTGTAAAAAAAAAACTCTTCCCTAAACGTCGCGTAAAAGGGTTTCACGCTCGACTAAGTATTTTAAACACATTCACAACTAACTGCAAAGACCTAACAAGTATAGGAATTACACAAACATAATAGGCCGATTTTCAATCTTTACCAAGCCCGACCACGCCCCAGGGGTGCTTATAAAAGTTGGTCGGAAGGTTAATTGTTGACTAAGTTTTCGGCGATTCCAAACGAAAATTGAGGACTAAGCCCTTTCATTCCTGTTAGTATGAATCAAACGGAAAGTCAACCATCTGTCACTTTCGCGCTATACTATATTCTCCCAGCCTCGTTCCCAGTCGTCCTCGATTTCGGATGTAACGTCACCTGTCAAGCTTCCCTCTTTACGGACCCGTTTCTTGAAAGGCACGGTAACTTTTCAGGCCCGAGGGAAAATTTTAAAATCATAAGTTGTTGAAACGTAGCACAAGTCCTGGCTCACAAATTCAGTCAATTCTTTTTCTTTAACTGATAGTTTCATAGTATCATTTTCAAACATGGCAAAAATAAATCAGCTTCCCGGGCCCGAAAAGTTAAGGGACTTTTGAGAAACGCTGTATGAATTTAAAAAAGGCATCTTTCAACGCTTGGGTTTTTCAGTGTCAACTTAACCCCCCATAATGTAACTTAATGATGCTTTATGACGTCGGCCTTGTCAACAGATTTCCCTTTCTTCTTTCACTGACTAGCACGGAATGCAATTGATAAGCCTTTTCAAATTTAGCTGCGTATTTAAGCGGAGAGTGTTTTCAAGTATTTTAGTTATATAACGCTGTGTAAAAGAGGTTATATTAAGCTGGCGATTATTCGAATCTAGAGGGCCCCCTTCAGTGAAATTAAGATTGATTTTGGTTGCCTAAATCAAAAGAAAAAAATCCGCAAGCATTTAGCAGCAGAGATAGAACTGAAACCTACTGATACCGGTGTATTCAAAATGCAGAAAAATATACAGTAAGTGAGAAAACAATTTAATGCTTGTTCCTATAAAGAGAGGGGGGGGGAACTTGTTTCCAAGTTTAATCTAGGGGGTGGAGGTGAGGAAATTCTATGCCATAGCACTTTGAGATGTGCAATAGCACGTTAACCTGGATAATTAAAACGATAACCATGGATTCGAAACAAGTCCCACTTGCTATAAATCTGTTAACAACACACACCTGAGCAAGCGGATGCCTTGATTGTTTCAATCATCTTTTGCAACTGCGAGAAGTCTTTCACCTCAACCGCAGGATTCCCTTCTCCTGCAATTTGCTGAAGAATTTCCTTATTCACGCCACCACCTATTCCAACAGCAACAGTGTTCACGTGTTTCTCCTGTTGAATTTTATAGAGACAACTGCGCTCGTTAGACTTGGCTTTAAGTGGGGTCATTTTGAAATTTCAGCGTCGCGGACGAATCCAGTTATCACTGTCAAATATTAACAAAGAAACATTGTTTATTGAAGATCTTTTAAGAAACGTCAGCAGTGAAAAGCATCTAAGTAACAGACCCCTTATCACTTTTGTATTAATATTTTTTTTCATAATTTGTAACGGTCTTTTTTTAAGATGTACGATGATCACCATACGAAAATTCAAGTTGATATAAAAATGCCCAAGTTCACAATGGTTATCACCGCTGTTTGTTTTTTACTTGTGATTAAGCACGTGACATTACCTTAATGTGATCCCACCGAATTTTATTCAAATAGGCCATTTCGATTCTGAGTCCTAAAAACTCTCGCTTTCAAAACGAGGCTTAGTGGAAAACTTTTGTTGTTAAAATGAGTTTATTTGCATGAGAAAAAAGAGTAATTTTCGTACTTAGCCTCGCTTTGAAACAGAGGCTTGAGGCAACATTGGTATGACATCATCGGCGTTAATGAATTCCACTGCACACTAGTGAGATTCCACTTCAAAACACGGCCTAACCGGTACATCCTGAACTACTAACAAATCAGGAAAAATTCCAAAAACTTTTCCTTTCATCGTCTAATGAGCCAATTCGAATTATGATGACGAAAAGTACGCAATATCGTAAAATACCAACCTTTAAATCTTTTGAGACCCTCTCCGCAAACTCTTTAAACTCCTTTCGGCTCAGCTTAGTCGGCTTACCATCAGTTAATACAATCATGACATTTGGTTTATCTGGCCTATCTCCTCCTTCCTTGCTGAACAACTCATCCCTCGCCATTTGTAAAGCAAGGTCAGTCCGGGTTTCGTATTCCAACTCAAGAGGCTCGTCGGCGATTCTCTTTAACAGAGCTTCTCTGTCATGAAACTCGGCTCGTGCAAAGTTAAATTCCATTATCGCCTTGTTGTGGAACGTAATCAAACCGAAGTGGTCAGCGGCTGGCGCAGGATTGAACTTTTTAATGAGGTTTTTCAAGAATTCGATGACGATTTTTAGATTTTTTATCTTTACACTCTTTGATTTATCCAGAACGGTCCCAATATCGAGTCCTGCTACACACGGCGGTGCTGTGTAAGAAATAAAATTTTAACAAAGCAAGAATCATTATTAATATTTCTTCCAAAAAAGGAGAAAAAGTCTCAGTTGGTAAAAACCAAGAAATAAGAAACTCCTGATTTCACCCGCAAGTAATTCATGTCTTAACGTTTTCTACCAAAACGAATTTGCTCATTCCCCGGCTTAAAAATGTACCTATCTCCGTACAAAGACGCGCATTGCATTCTTAAGAACCATTTTCATAAACTCGACGGAAAAGACTTAGATTTTCTTAACTGGGTGAACAAAAACATTGTTTGAAGTTTTCATAACTTTCAAAAGGGGGCCGATTTAGTGAGCGAAGGGTTGATTAACTCCTTCAAGCGATGTTTATTATCATTATCACTACATTATTATTAGCATCATTTATTTTTTTATTTATTAAGATTGCTTATTTTTAAAAAGAAGAATAAACTCACGACATTCTTGCGTGCTACACTCTTGTGTCTTCTTAGCTGGTCCCAGTCCACTGCAGTTTTTTCCGCCGTTTGACGGAGGGGGATTGGTACAGGTTCTTGTTAATATCTTTGTTCCTTCTCCACAGGTAACACTGCATTTTGAAGCTGACCAATCGGTGTAACCGCCGTCAATTGCTAAAAAAAATGAGAAATACAATAACTGCAAAATGCGGAAAATGCACCTTAAATGAACAAAAAATTAAAGATAAAACGATTAAGACTCACACCTCCAAACTTGAACTTCTCAAGTTGGTAGGAATTTGCTGGGGCGTACGTTATTACTATCTTTAAGGTACTTTTAATAGACAAAAACGTACGGCATGTATTCATGTTGCAGTCCTTTGTTATTGAGGAGGGTCCCAGTCCACTGCAGTTCTTTCCACCGTTGGACGGAGGGGGATTGGTACAGGTTCTTGTTAACGTCTGTGTTGCCCCTCCACAGGTAACACTGCACTCAGAAGCTGACCAATCAGTGTAGCCGCCATCAATAGCTAAAAACATTGAAAATATATTAACTGCAAAATGCGGAAAATGCACCTTAAATGAACAAAAAATTAAAGATAAAACGATTAGGACTCATGCAGACCTCCAAACTTGAACTATTAAAGTTGGTAGGAATTTGCTGGAGCTTACGTTATTACTACCTTTAAGGTACTTTTAATAGACAAAAACGTACGGCATGTATTCATGTTGCACTCCTCTGTTATTGAGGCGGGGCCCAGTCCAATGCAGTTTTTTCCGCCGTTGGACGGGGGTGGATTGGTACAGGTTCTTGTTAAT